GCTGAGGCAGGCAGGACAGGCTGGGACCAGACCCCACAGCACCCTCTCCATGAGGTAGTGTTCAAGACTTTGGCTCAAAGACCACATGCAGTGGGAAGCCACAGATGGATTTTCTTTAACCAGAGGGCTCTGATATGTATGTATTTATTAGGCATATTTTTAAAACCTGACCAGCTCACAGGTAGCAGCAAATAGCTGCAGTTTCAAGTAATGTATCACAGTTGATCTGACTGACTTTCAGAGTTCACATTGGCTGCCGGTGAGCAAAGGACCGCTGCCGGCGTAATCCAGGTCGTGATGACCTGGTGCCAGGCAGGCGCGGACAGGGTGCGGTGGGGACTCAGTGTCTCCCAGAGCTCCCTGTGAGCTTGTGGGTGGACCTGAATGTGAGGGATGAAGGGAAGGCAGAAGTCAGGATGGGTTCTGGCCCGATCACCCTGGCGAACACCGGTGCCAGGTATTCAGGGGCCGAGAATGGGAGGGGGGGACGCGTCTTCAGAGAGCGCCAGTACGTGGTGAAATCCTCCTGGGGCTCCTCCTCCCTCCAGTGCAGACACACTGCTGCCGCCTTTACTGGGATTGGACAGCCATCCACAAGCAAAACTGGAGCAGGACCGACCCATCCGCACAAGGAAATGGGCCTAGCGTTTTACCACCACGATAGGTTGTGTTGGACCCTGCCAGCCTTCTGCCCAGTTCGCTGGGCTCAGGAACATCCGCTGTAATCAGGAAAGGCCAAAGAGCAACCAAACGAGCCCATCAAAGCGCGCCCTACTGCAGTGCCAGGCTGTGAGCCGTTCCCTTCACCTTGCTGGGCAACCTCTGTCAAGCCCTTCAAACCTCAGTCTGGAAAACAGAGGAAAAGTTTATTTAAAAAACAAAACCTTTGAGGCCAGGGATTTAGCTGAGTGGTTCCACCGCTTGCCTCTCAAGCACAAGGTCCCGAGTTGGATCCCCGGTACAGGAGAAAAACAAAAATAAAAACAAAAACTCTGCAAAATAGTAGCAACAGTTGAAAGACAAATATATCTGACAATCTTTCAGATCAGCACAGATTGTAATACCTCACAGTATTAAGCTTGATGTCTTCTTTCTGGCCACTGATTCTGAACGTACCGAGCATCAGTTAGGTGTAAAACGCGGTGTGGTGGTAAGAGTGGGAATAAAGTCTCCTCCTTTCCCTGGAGGAGCTCCCAGTGCAGGGAGGACAAGGAGATGCCGAGGCAGAGATTTCAGCCTGGGGATGAGGCCGCTTCTAGCACTGGCTTCTACGGGGGCCACAGAGTACAGGGGACCCCAGGTAGAGGGCCAGTCAGGGGCTCCCAAGTCTTGTAAGACAGCGTTATGTTAAGGCCAACAGGGTTAAATTGAGTTCTGTATATGTTGAGTCCTCCAAGTCTGTGACTCCCTAACATTCTGATTAACTAGTGGTGGGACAAAAATTCCATTAATGGGTTTGGGAATGCATTTTGTCTTGTCACAGTCTCTTTTTTTCTTCTGACACAATTCCTGTGATGAGTGGCTGTAACTCTGCATTAACACCAGCTGTTTTCCACCAGTCTAGCATGTCAGGAACATTACCAAGTCCTGGAGTAGGGCCTTATCACACCTAAAACTTATTCTTGGCCAAACTCTTAAATCCACGGGATGAATTACAGACTTACATAAAAAAGCTGTTATGTACTTAATGGCATCAAAATTTTCCATTACAAATAGTTTTTATTCTCTTTAATTTGAAAAAAAAGTGCCTTGAGGGGTCTTTGAATTTCTAAGCCTTGTAGATCAAAGATTTTCTCAGCTGTCTTCTAAGAATGTTGAAAAACAAAAACAGATTCTTTTCCTGCTATAAAATCCTCGCCATGTTTTTGTCTTTATGTAACTCAAAATGGCTCAAATGCAAAATAAGATTGGTAAGTTTTGTCCAAAATCTAAAAATTCATCTGAAATGAAGTAATTGATAATTCTAAAAGTGCCACTATTCTGACCCAAGAATAAATTTTATTGAATTCTTAGTTGATGATCCAGAAAATTGCTAACTAGCACTTGTAAGAGAATAAAATATATTATGGCTAAGGTACCAAAATGTTTTAAATTGTTTATTAAAATGATTCAAGACTAAATTGTAATAATGTTGGCTTGGTGATGGTATTTTTCCTGATTCCATTCTAGCCCACAACTATGTATGTATTCTTTTTGTAACATGATCTGCTAAACAGTGAATTATTTTGAATGCTTTTGAAGAAAAAATTAAAACTATAAAAAGCAACAGTCATCAGTCCACTAATGTTTTAGTCTGAGGCCTGACATTCAGTGTATCCTAGCAGTGGGTGGCATGAGCTCACTGGTCATCTGGCATCATAGACGTGATGGTCAGACACCTTTGGCCTCAGGAGTTCATCTGCTCTGTCTCTCGAGACACACCTGTGAAATCGCTCATGCTTGTGGAGGGCGTGGCACACGACACATCTGCTTTCTGACATAGGAGACTGAGGCACTTTTGCATCTAGAAGTCACTTGTTTCCAGTTTCTTCCTGTGTTGCTTTTATTTAAAATTTGTTTTATAATTATAAAAATAAAACGCACCCTTCAAAAACTGGGAGCCTGTAAAATGTATAAAAAAGAGTAACAAAATCCACCATTTGCATTAGCTTTGTGTGAATTTGTTACATTTGCTTTGAGGCTGTATTTACATAATTGCAGTCCTGCTGTACACAGAATTTCTTTTTGTTTAAAATGGACATTTTCTCAAGTTACTCTAAGTTCTGCAATGTCAGTCTTAATGAGCGTATACTGCTCTATGATAAGATGTAGATATTAAAACCTTTACGGGAAGGCTGGGGATTTAGCTCAGTGGTTCCACCGCCTGCCTTGCAAGTTCAAGGTCCCGAGTTGGATCCCTGGTACCAAAAATAAACAAACAAATAAAACCTTTATGGGATTCAGGTTGCTTCTGGTATTTTGCTATCAAAATTCTACCGTTCACATCTTTATACAAAAAACATTTTCACTACTGCTGAATTAGACAAAAGACTTTAGGTTGCAAGTCAAAGGAAATCCATTTGCTCTGTCTTAGGTATCAAAGCTGGACCGGCTCTGTAGTAAAAAGCTACGAGTGAACGGACTCCAGACACCCGGAGGCAAAGGCTAAAGGTGTCTTCAGGAGTCCATCGTTTTTCTCTTTGGACCAGCTCTCCTCTTTGGTGATTTCATTCTCAACCCGTCTCCTTTACATCCACTTGCAGAAGGACAGCTGCTCTTTCTCAGTGATCCCAACAGAAGCCCCACGATTGAGGCTCAGTAGCATGGCCAGGGTGAGGGGAAGGAAAGGCCTGCTGGCCCAGGACAGTCCTGCCTCGCCCACCCACCCAGCTCTGCGCCTTCCTGCCCTTCACCGAGGCCACTGCTGCTCTCTCTGCCTTTCTTTGTGTGTCTTCAAGGATTACTGACCCCTCACTCCTTCGATCCCCACTCAGAAGCTTGTCCTGGCCACACTTCACTTGTTATCTGCTTCTCCTGCTCTACTTCACAACTCCTTACTACCTGGTGTTCTGTGAGACATGTTTGAATGGTCTGGCTGCTTTCCTGCACGCTCAGAGCTGACACTATTTGTAGCTCTCTCCCGCCCTCGATAAATAAATGCCAAATGAGTTCATGAAAGACTTCGCCAGGCATCGGGTGAGCCCACCTATGACAAGAAGGGACTGAAGGAATGCTGTGATTCTCTGAAGAAAAAAAAATTAATCAGGCAGCCATCCCCAGACCCAGGAACGAGTCTGCTAAGCTGACCAAGACAGTGGTGTCCATTTCAGCATGGGTCTCTTCCGAAGGCGATCCTGGGAGTAGGAACAGTAAGGACAAGTTTGGGATTGCTCCTAACGGCTACCTCCGTGTTAGTCCGCTATGAAAATCCTCCTGACAGCAGACAAAATCATCTTCCTGAAATGCATACCACGCTGTGTCTTCTGAATCTGAAGACAGATGACTCCCAGTCACCAGGAGAGTGAACACAAGAATCCCTCCTTGCCCTGCATCCGGCCCCAGCCGCTCAGCCCAGCTGACCTCACCCCCCACACTGTCCTCTTTCACCTACCAGGCTTCAATGCGCTGGTTTCTGCTCCACCCTGGAACTCAGGCCTTACCTCGGGAGCCCTGCATGCCCTCTTCTCGCTGCCTAGAAGGTCATCCTTGAAGGTCTTATCGGGCCCCTCTCATTTTCCTTCAGCCTAAGTTGCTCAGCCTCCTCAGCATAGAGGTGTGTTGTCTTGACAGCTCTTACCAGTTGTTTAATTTTGTTTACTGTCCTCCCTCTTCCCCATGAGAACGTCAGCTTCATCCAGGCCCTTTCTCTGCTCACTATGATAAACCCAGAACTCAGACTAGGACTGGGTACATCAAAGACCGTCAATACATGTTTTTGAAAAGAAATGAACACTTTGTTCTCCAAGAGGATGGTGGTAATTCACACCTCTTAGGAGTGGCAGGAATCCCCACTCTCAATGCCTCTAGAGGAATTTTCTCAGAGTACCATTTAAAAGAGGGGTTCCTCTGGATGCTCACTGCACGTAAACCGGAGGACAGGATGGCCCCATTTTCTTCCGTCCGAACAGAGCTCAGCATTCTGTAGCCAGCACGGTCACATCGAGTTTAAAGACAGCCTGAACCTTACCTTCCACTGTGTACTGAGTAAAAGGTTCCTTTCCACTGCAGCTGGCTCAGGGAGTTTTCTAAAACTGCTACGGGAAGTAAAAGTCAACAACTGACTTTTGTACTTGGGATTCAGATGAGCATGGTTTTTGTGCTTTCCCATCCCAACTGTCCAGCTGTTAGCATTCTGATTTGTAGAACTTACTCTGATCTGTTCACTGTTATCATTAGAGTATATTTAATCTTGTATATTTTTGAAGAATTTTAAAGTCTTGCAAAAAGAGCTGATTCACTTAAAATATATTTAATGTAGAGAGCATCAAAGCACCTTTTACCAGGAAAAATATCTATGACATACATCAGATTAAACAAATCCAATCTCCCTTTACCTGGAAAGAACTGTTTGAATACAAAACAATAAACTTCATGTCCTAATCTTTTTTTAAAAAAAACCTTTAGCATTATCTAACGTGGAATAACAATAAACTTAGCAAAAACAAAGAAATGATTGTGTCTTTAAATAGTACAAAATTTTCCAATTTAAAAATAGCACCAATGGTAGAAGGGGGTATGATTTTCCCTAAATGAGTGATTTACCAAAATTCGTGCAAACCAAATTTTGAGTGGTTGATTTTTAAATCTCTTGGGAACTAGATGATAAATTAAAAGAAAGTAAAAAAAAAGTAACTGAAGAATTAAAAGACAGGCACGCCTATGTGCGCCAGCCCCGCCACGTGGACAAGGCCCCACAAACCGCTTCTGGTTTCCTGCCAGAGGTGTCACCAGTCAGCGACCTCCACCACAAAGGGTGTTCTCACATCTATCTTGCCGCTGTTGACGATGGAGCAGTTGGTGAGGGGCCGGTCATGCCCATCAGTTGCTTGGAGTTCTATGGTGTGCACCACTGTCTGGGGAGAGAGGGCAGAGGCGTGCTCAGTTCTCCTGGGCAGCTGCAGCAGCCCAAGGGGCTATCCGTCCACTCCAGAAGCCCAAGACAGAAACAAGTTTATCATTTCAAAAACCATACATGCGAAGTGTGAAGAACTCGAATGTTTAGATACATAATAGACAGACAGGTGACAGGTAACAGAAAGATTCACCCACTACGTTGTTTCTCAAAGAATACATTAGTATATTTCCTCACTTTTAAAGCAAACATTTGATATTCTGAAACAGTCAGTAATTTTGTAAACATCCATCTATATGATGAAAAGCATTTCTAATCAACTGCCAAAGCCCAGTATAAGAGTCACATGGAGCTGGGGTCAGTTTTAACTTCACTAGGTCTAGGTATATATAAAATGGGCAAAAAGCAGATTTAAAAGTTGACCTAGCTCCTGGGTTGACCATTGCAAAAGTTTTCCGAGCCACTGCTGTGCAGGTTGGATCCTATACTCCGACACCACAGTGGTGGAAGGGCTTCCTCTCTGCTGAGAAGCTTCATGAGCCAATGTGCCCGTAAGGTCTGGCACTGAGGGAGGGTATCACAGAATGAGAAAACAGCCTCTGAGCGGCATTCCAAACAGTGAGCGTCCAGCTCAGTTCCTGGACTTTGGCTGAGGAGAATCAGGTTAGTCAGGTAGAAGATACAGAACTGCCACGAATGAGCCTGGCTCATTTATGTTTGGGTGAGGGCATCAAAACAACTTCCACGAAAAAGCATGACGAACGCGGAAGAGGTCAAGAGAGGCGAGGATAGCCAAGGGCTGAGCTGGACAGACTTTGCAGTGGTCAGTGTCGGAGCTGAGAGAGCTGCTGTGGGCGGTGCTGAGAGGAAGTGGAGGGGGGGCGGGGTGGAGAGGAAGAGAGGCAGAAGGTGAGCGAGCACTGCGGAAGTACTAGCATGGGTCATGCGTGGATCCCTTTGCAAAAAGTGCTCTGAGGAGTAACGGCACGGGCTCTCTGAGTAACTGCTGGTTGCTATACTGAGTGATTTTTAATGTGACCTGGTGCATGGACTGATGGGGTTTGATATTTTATTTTTAATTGTAAGAAACACACGACATTTTCTGCGCACAGCTCCGCAGTGGTGAGTGTATTTACACTGCTGGACAGCCAGTCTCCAGAATTCTTTCATCTTGCAGAACTGAAACTCTGTATCCATTAAATATCCACCCCCACCAGCCCCACACAACCACTACTCTACTTTCTTGTATGAATCTGACTGCTTTAGATACCTCTTAGTGTGCACTCACAGGGTCTGTCCTCTTGTAACTGTCTTATTTCACCTAGGGTAAGACCTTCAGGCTTCTCTGTTTCCGCATGTGTTAGAATGTCTTTCCTTTTTAATACTGAATAATATTCCACTGCGTGTACGCATGGGGCCCTGATTTTATTTGGTTACATTAGACAGGGTTTTCTATTTACAGCCAGGAGTAAAATACTCAACTTCTCCATGTTAAGTCCCTGGCTTCTGTTTTATTGCCATGCCATACATGATTTATTCACCTCTGCAAAGGCCAGTCAGCATATAATAATGGATCTCTAACAATCCATTTTCAAATTTAAATAAATCAACGGAAGGTGCTTTCACAAACGTAAAGCTCTGAAAAAAGAAAATATATCAAATTACCATGCCATCGAGGACTTTCCCAAATACCACATGTTTGCCATCCAACCAGGTGGGCTTGGTCAAGGTAATGAAGAACTGGGAGCCATTGGTGTCCGGCCCAGCGTTGGCCATGCTGACCCACCCAATGCCATAGTGTTTCAGCTTGAAGTTCTCGTCCGGAAATATCTCGCCATAGATGCTCATGCCTGAGTGAGAAAACAAGAAGGAAGAGAGTGAACAGATATCCAATGAAAGTAACTCTCTTCAAAGGAAACACACGGCCTTAGTGTAACTGGTTACTAGAACCCTACAGGGAGTGGGAAGGTGGAAAACATGGTCAAACATGAGGAGGAGGGGACAAAATTAAATTTGTAAGGAAGCAGGGCACCAAGGCCTGAAACAAAGGTCCAGACCTTGACAGAACAAGTCAGTGACTTCTCCTCTGAAAGGGGGAGCAGACGGTAGGACGGTGCTCCACAGCCAGATGGGAAGGCACCGAGCCAGAGGCCCTGCCTGAGTCCTACATTCGGGTCACCTGTCCTGGGTCACTCCCACTTTAGCACCCAACCAGGGCACACCAAACACTGAATGTTTACCCTCGGCTTCTTATTCCTACAATAACCCTACAGAATCAGTATTCTCAGTTCTGTTTTACCTGGAGAACAGTTGTAAAATGTAAAATTTGAACATCTGACTTCCTGACTCTGAAGCTGGTGCACTTTCTTTCAGCACCAGAGCAGTAGCAGCTGGTCTGGAAGTTAAGCACAGCAAGGCCCAGGAGCACACAGAAGGTAACAGAAATTGGAGCTGCCAGGGATCAAGTTGCACAGAACATGTGGTGTGCGGTCACAGCAAAGCAGCAGGTACAGCAGAAGCCCCTTCTCCAGAACTGTGGTCCATAAGAGGTTCCTGCCCATCTCTATCAACTGCAGGGCCTGTCCTGCCCACCACCCGCTCTGCCAGGTTCTGATCCATATGTTGGTTGTCAGCTTCAACCTATCAGAGCCCAGCAACTTGGAGCTGATGGGCGAAGGGCATGCAGGGAGCCTAGCCTAGCAGGAACTCCTCGCAGAAGGCTCTCAGCTAAACAGAAACAGTTCACAATTTCCTCTCTCCAAAGCTCAGAGAACTTTAAGCCAAGGGTCACACAAACCTGGACAGCAGAGGCAGAGAGAGAACAGGATGGAAATTTGGGCAAGGAGGAGCATTCCTGCAGCCCCTCGGTAGGAAGGAGGCACCAGGGCCGTGGGATGGTGCCAGAGCGGCAGCTTCTGCCCTGAGAGCTGGTGCCGTGGCAGCTGAGTCCCTGGGAGTGTGCTAGCAAACCTGTTATCGGAGGAGCCTGAAAAAGTTTCTCTGCTCCTTTCTACCCATCACGTAGCATTTTTGCAAGAACTAAAAGTAATCTCTAGAAAGTACCAAGAAAACTAAAGAACTGAATGGTGGCTATTTTGCTATAAATAAACCATTGCAATAAACATAAAAGGAGAATGATGTCTGAAAATGGCCTGTTTCTGTAAGAAGTTAGCAACTAATACCCACTCCCAAAAAGGAGAAAAGGGCTAGGGATGTAGCTCGGCTGGCCTGCATGGCAAGCATGACGCCCCGAGTTCCATTCCTGGTACCAAGAAAAGACACGACAACTGCATTATTTCAATCCTAATGTGAATTAAATTACATTCCATGTAGTTACACACACAGTGCGTGTTCAGGCAAAGAACTCTCACTATCTTTCCCAGGAAAGCAGTCCATGGGACTAGGAAGATGTAATCCTCAATGAGAAACAATAAACTGAAGGGGATTCGAAGCTCTAGAAATTTAAAAGCATTTGTCCTTTATTGAAGTTTAACTTTGTTTTAAAGATTCATATTGATTATTCAGCTGTAACTTAAATTTATTATTTACAAAGCTGACAGTGCCAGGTGTTGGCATCTACCTGTAATCCCAGCTACTGTGGAGACCGGCACAGGAGTCTCACAAGTCTGCAGCCAGTCAGAGCAACTTGCCGAGACCTTGTCATCTCCCAACAAAACTTTAGAAAGGGCTGGGAGCGCAGCTCGGTGATGGAGTGCTTGCCTAGCATGGGTGAGGCCCTAGTTTCAATGCCCAGCACCAGCAAAGAAACTGACAAAAGCAAAAGCTTTTGGAAGGAGGGTCCTGTCACCGCCATCTTCCACTCAGACGCCAGCCTGTCCTTCCTCACACCCACGTGTGCCGCTAGTGACCACACCAAGGGACCCAGGCTCTTTACCTCGTCCTTCCTACAGCAGACATGGGTCTCTACCACTACAAACTGGCCGTCCAGCATTTTCTGACCCGTGAAATGTCAGTCTGAGAAGGCAGTGGGTGCCAATTCACTGCTATTCAATGTCAGGAGGCCTCACCCGTTCACATCTACCACGGCCTGGTGGAGGAAGCGCTGAAAACTCTACGCCTCTTAAAGAACTAGAGTTGTCCTTATATGCTTTTCCATAAATCCAGTGTTTGAATATTTTGGGGTAATATAAAGGCTTCATCTTAGTTTGCACTTGGTGAGTGAGGAAGAGAAAGGCAAAGAAGACGTTACCACCAGTGCCGTCCCCAGCAGTGAAGTCCCCTCCTTGAATCATGAAATCCTTGATGACACGGTGGAAGGCGCTTCCCTTGTACCCGAAGCCTTTCTAAAGAGAGAATTTCAATTGAATACACAGTAGAAGCCACTCACACTGAAAGGCAGACCCCAGTGTTCCCCCGAGAGTGAGGAAATTCAAGTATCTACAAGAACTGATTAGTTCCCAGAAGTGATCTCCTGGGAGAAACTTAGCACTCGGTGACCAAACAACAAACTATGGGCATAAACTATAGTTTGAATGAAAAGAGAGTAATCTGCATTTTCACTTGGCTGTTCCTCCCCAGTTTCTAGAAGCCTAAGGGTACTAGTACCTGAATAATAAAACTTTATAGAAAAATAAAGTCAAATGTGATAAGATGTCACGGGTTCAAGTGACATAACGATTTCACACTTATTTTCCTAGAAGACATCTTTCTATTTAACTTTTTAAAAGGACACAATTTTGTGCACAGCTAAAAGAAATAAAACTCAGACCTCTCCTGTGGCCAGAGCAACAAAATTCTCCACAGTCTTGGGTACGACTTTTCCAAAGAGGCCAATCACAATTCTGCCTACATCCTTCTCTCCAATCTTCACATCAAAGAAGACCTGTTGGCGGATGAAACACAGAGTAAAAGGTTATAAGGAGAGAAGACAAAAGCACAACACTGGTCAGAATTAAAATCTGTGAAGTGATCCACGAAGGAAAGGTCACCCTTCGATGAGCACAGTATCAATCAAAACACTTGTGTGGGTGTGGTCTGCTCACAAATAGTCACTCAACAAACACTTGCTGAACACCACCTATGAGCCAGGTGCTATACTTAGTACTGAGTGTAAAGCTTGATTCCATACCATGATGGGCAGCCAATAAAAAAGTCTTCAGGAAACCTGCTCTCCCTCACCCCTTAGGCAAACACTTTTGCGGCTTCCTGTTTCCTGGCTCTGTGGATAAAGATTAGAATGGCAAATGTTCTTTCAAAAGATAATGCTAGTTTCTAGTCTTGGCATGAGGGGAAAAAAATCTGGTGAGGAGAGAAAGGCTAACCATTCAGATTTATGTTTTGTCATTTCAAACACTGCCAAACTCCCACTGAGTTCAATAGCTGTCTGATGTCAAGGGGACTGGGAAAGACGATGAAAACACATGCAATCTTCAGAAGCCGGTTACTCGCACCCTGCACCGTACAGCACTGGTCCGGCCTCATCTGACAGACAGCAAACACTGCGCAGGGCCTGACAAAGACATTTACCCTGCAAGCTGAGACACTGCGTTCAGGTTTCATGGCCCCGAGTCACACAAGCAGAGTTTACTCTTTCTCTGTCACGTCTTACGACCAAAGAAAGAAAACATCCAGAAATAAGTACGAGTCGCTTTTTTGCAGACTAAACTTTACTTTTAAAAAAAAACATTTCATCTGAAATGAATTTATACACACTTTGCTTCACAAATCACTGTGTTAAGATGATTCTCAGACAGAGGCTTGAAAAGGCCACGGAGCCGAAGGGCATTCTATAGTGCGTTTAGATTATATGAGCCAATTTACCGTTTGAATGGGTAAAAAAAGACATTCAAGAGATGGCTTTAAAAAATATAAGAGTTGTCAAAGAAAAAAGATGTCTTGCATTTAGAAAAATCACTACGTAAAGCCTGTCAAGCTTCAGTTCAAGGCAAGGGCTGCTCCGACAAGTCAGAACATCCGTCTGTCGCCGGGTGATGTGATGTTTAGGGCTCCGTGTGGCTTTTTACACGCCCAAAGCAGCAAAAGTTTTATTATTTATACGGAAGAGCTTTACAGGATGTGTGAAAGTCCCTGCTGTCAAGTGGGGGCGCTGCAGGGAGAGAACTGCGGGTAACGGGGCAAGAGGCTGCCTCCCCTGGACTGAGCCGTGTGCAGGCCCAGGTGGGCACTAACAAAGCAGCACCAGGACAAGAACCAGGGCTGTAACCGTAAACGCCCCGCCACCACGCGGAAGGGCACTCCAGGGTTCTGAAGTAAGGACAGAGTTATGTCTGTGAGTACCTAGAGGGCGAAAAGAATAAAACTTGGCCCAACTCGCAATGGAAGTGGGAAAATCAAATCTTATTTAGTGCAGCAGTTATTTATTCCAGATCTCTCTGAGAGGCAAAGTGAGCACAAGCTGTGTAAGAGAATCCCAGTTCTAAGATGGCCTAAGGAGACAGGGAAGTAAGTAAACGCATAACCAGCACGTGACAGATGCCTTAGGACCCAGAGCAGCCAGGCCCGGAGCACAGCTGCAGGCCAGGAAGCAACAGGGCACAGCCTGGCAGCTCCTCCTGGACCAAAGCACTGGCAGGAGTGTGGTTTGCATGGCCCTGTGGCCACAGCTGGGAGGGGGTGCCAGAGAGGAGATGCCCGCCAGTTCCAAAAAGCCAAAAAATGTCAGCCTCAGAGATTGAAGTTCTGACACACAAAAGAGGGAGTGAAAGAGGCCAGTCAGCCCTGAGAAGGAGAATAGGAGGCTCTCACCCGGTGCAAGACTGAGGTCACACGGGGCTGCTGGGGGAGCAGTGAGAGGCGCTTAAACAAAGGGGGAACTGGCCGGAGGAGGGGAGACAGATGTCGCTCATGTGGTCTCCCTAGGCCATCTTCCATAACAAGCCTCAACACCCGGGGGCCAGTAACTATCACTGCTAATCTACGAGTGAGGAAAGTAGGGGTGAGGGAGGGTCAACGGTTTACCAAGGTGAATCAACCAACGCAAGGCTGACTGAAACTGTGGCTTCTTATTCACAGAGCCCTTTGGTGCAGGCACGGAACCCCTAAAGGAAAGACTGCTCTGTTCCCCACGTCCCAGCACAATGTCAGCACAAACGGAGTGTAAAGCGTTAAAGGGCTCAGAATCGAGTGATGCTAAATGTGGGCGCACCCCCTAAACAGCAGGTGAGGCCACATGGCAAACGGGACACCAGACCCATCTCTGCTGGGCACCCCCTGGACAGGTGGAAGACAGAGCTCCTACCCTCAGGGAGCCTGCAGCCCAGCGGAAATGCATACTGGATGCTGCAACGTGCGAGGAGAGAAGCTGGGCTCCGCAAGACAAGCCACACAGTGTCACGGGAAAGGGGCTGAGTATCCCCGGGGCTCGGGAGGGCTTCCAAAAGCACTGCACTCGGCCGGGGCTGCAGCGTGACCTAGGGGTGGGTGAGGTGAACACCACTAACGGTCCGTGGGGAGAACAGCATCTCACGCCTCTTACGTACAGATGCCTATCTGTAAACAAAATCAGAAGTAAAAGAAGACTGCTGGGGAACAGTACACTAGAACAACGGTCAAATAATCTACTTGTCTGCACTCAGAGAAATCCTTTCTAATGACTTCATTTTCCAGTAGTTGCTTCAAAAACTTCACTGAAAGTAATCTGACGCAGTCAAATCTACAGAAGGCCCACCTACACAAGAGGCCTAAATGATGTGACAGAAAAAGCTAAGCGGCCATGTCGAGGATGGCCCCTCACTGAGTCATCCAGCCCGGGCTCAGGATGGCCCTGTTTCACCCCACCCTTGGATCCTCCAGTGGCTCCAGGCCGGCTCCACCCCAGGATCTAGATTGCTTTTAAAAGGTGAGCTCGACTGGCTCACTGGCTTGGGCGGGCCCTGGGTCAGTGAGCTTCCCTTCCAAACACAACAGGGCGTGTGCTATAGAGGTTACTCGGCATTAATCTGCCATTTACACCCGCTGTAATGGAGCATTCTGCATTTTATACTGCAGCACCACCCCTCTCTCCGACTCCGTCTGAACAGTCAGCAGTTCCTGTTACTTGTATCCCCAAAGCCCACTTTAAGTTCCTCCCTTACTCTGCAGTCCCAAAGTTACCACCGTGGTCCAGGCAGCCCTCCGGACCTGGCAGGCAGCCCGGAATGCCCTCAGCGACCACGAGCCTTCTCAGAAATGCATCGGTGACTGTGTTATTTTAGGAGCCCATCAGCGGCTCTAACTGCACCCAGAATAACATCTCGAGTTCCAGGGCTAACCGCGCCTTGACCTGGGCCATCGTCTCCCCTGCTCGGCCCTGCGCACCCAGCCACAGCTCTCAGGCCAGCCCGCGGCTCCGCCACGCTGCTCTCCTGCCTGGAGACCTGTGCACGCGCTGCGCCCTTCGCCAACCACGCTTTCGCCAGGCTGGCCTTTCCCCAGTCACCGGCTGTTTCAAAATGTCACGCATCTGTAGGCAGTTCGGTTCCTTCAGTATCTCACAGTAATGTAAACTTCCCGTTTATGTTTCTGACTTTATCCAAAGACACTTCCACAGAATCCCATTCAGCTCCGCGGCCTCGCACACGCCAGTTCCCGGAGCCGGGATCCTACGGGCCCAGGGCCTGCGGGGC